ACAAAATTCCCTAATCCCCACGCCATTGATCGGCTGGTTCCCTGTATGATGTCAACCTGATATACGGCCTGTCAAATACGAGATGTCAACGTTTTTAGTGCAAAGACGCAAATTTTCATTTCGTTTTCTTTGTTAATACAAAGACCAATATACAGTAATCAGTTTTCTCTATCAGTTCTCGTTTAATTTTTTCCGTGTACTCAACTTCCCTGAGAATTATCTTACAAATTGGCGCCCAACGTGAGGCCACGGTGAGTTTCAAGACTGGTAGAATGATTATTGTGTGCCGATCGCGATTGTTGTGTAGTTGTTCGACGAAACACAAAAAAATTGGCCTATTTTTGACAGCCTGTCAAAACAGTTTTTCATAAAATTCTCCAAGTTGAATTAGAAAAAATGTCATAACTTTGCTTTTGAACCAAATATCGACTTCAAATTTGTTTTATCTTATTGGGAAAACTTCAAGTTATGATTTCTGAAAGTTTGAAGTTGTACAACAAAATTGCCTATTTTTGACAACCTGTCAAAACAATTTTTCATAAAATTTTCCAAGTTGAATTTGAAAAAATGTCATAACTTTGCTTCTGAAACAAATATCGACTTCAAATTTGTTTTATCTTAATGGGAAAACTTCAAATTATGATTTTCGAGAGTTTGAAGTTGCACAAAAAATTGGCCTATTTTTGACAGCTTGTCAAAACAATTTTTCATAAAATTTTCCAAGTTGAATTAGAAAAAAATGTCATAACTTTGCTTCTAAACCAAATATCGACTTCAAATTTGTTTTATCTTATTGGAAAAACTTCAAATTATGATTTTTAAAAGTTTGAAGTTGCACAAAAAATTGGCCTATTTTTGACAGCCTGTCAAAACAGTTTTTCATAAAATTTTCCAAGTTGAATTAGAAAAAATGTCATAACTTTGCTTCTGAAACAAATATCGACTTCAAATTTGCTTTGTCTTATTAGAAAGACTTCAAGTTATGATTTTTGAAAGTTTAAAGTTGCACAAAAAATTGGCCTATTTTTGACAGCCTGTCAAAACAATTTTTCATAAAATTTTCCAAGTTGAATTAGAAAAAATGTCATAATTTTGCTTCTGAACCAAATATCGACTTCAAATTTGTTTTATCTTATTGGGAAAACTTCAAATTATGATTTTTGAAAGTTTGAAGTTGCACAAAAAATTGGCCTATTTTTGACAGCCAATTTTTCATAAAACTTTCCAAGTTGAATTAGAAAAAATCTCATAACTTTGCTTCTGAACCAAATATCGACTTCAAATTTGTTTTATCTTAATGGGAAAACTTCAAATTATGATTTTTAAAAGTTTGAAGTTGCTCAAAAAATTGGCCTATTTTTGACAGCCTGTCAAAACAGTTTTTCATAAAATTTTCCAAGTTGAATTTGAAAAAATGTCATAACTTTGCTTCTGAGCCAAAAATCGACTTCAAATTTGTTTTATCTTATTGGAAAAACTTTAAATCATGATTTTTAAAAGTTTGAAGTTGCACAAAAAAATGGCCTATTTTTGACAGCCTGTCAAAAAAATTTCCAAGTTGAATTTAAAAAAATGTCATAACTTTGCTTCTGAACCAAATATCGACTTCAAATTTGTTTTATCTTATTGTGAAAACTTCAAATTATGATTTTTGAAAATTTGAAGTTGCACAAAAAATTGGCCTATTTTTGACAGCCTGTCAAAACAATTTTTCATAAAATTTTCCAAGTTGAATTAGAAAAAATGTCATAACTTTGCTTCTGAAACAAATATCGACTTCAAATTTGCTTTGTCTTATTAGAAAGACTTCAAGTTATGATTTTTGAAAGTTTGAAGTTGCACAAAAAATTGGCCTATTTTTGACAGCCTGTCAAAACAATTTTTCATAAAATTTTCCAAGTTAAATTGGAAAAAATGTCATAACTTTGCTTCCAAACCAAATATCGACTTCAAATTTGTTTTATCCTATTGGGAAAACTTCAAATTATGATTTTTGAAAGTTTAAAGCTGCACAAAAAATTGGCCTATTTTTGACAGCTGTCAAAACAGTTTTTCATAAAATTTTCCAAGTTGAAGTAGAAAAAATGTCATAACTTTGCTTCTGAACCAAATATTGACTTCAAATTTATTTTATCTTATTGGGAAAACTTCAAATTATGATTTTTGAAAGTTTGAAGTTGCACAAAAAATTGGCCTATTTTTGACAGCCTGTCAAAACAATTTTTCATCAAATTTTCCAAGTTAAATTGGAAAAAATGTCATTACTTTGCTTTTGAACCAAATATCGACTTCAAATTTGTTTTATCTTATTGGGAAAACTTCAAATTATGATTTTTGAAAGTTTGAAGTTGCACAAAAAATTGGCCTATTTTTGACAGCTTGTCAAAACAATTTTGCATAGAATTTTCCAAGTTGAATTAGAAAAAATGTCATAACTTTGCTTCCAAACCAAATATCGACTTCAAATTTGTTTTATCCTATTGGGAAAACTTCAAATTATGATTTTTGAAAGTTTAAAGCTGCACAAAAAATTGGCATATTTTTGACAGCTGTCAAAACAGTTTTTCATAAAATTTTCCAAGTTGAAGTAGAAAAAATGTCATAACTTTGCTTCTGAACCAAATATTGACTTCAAATTTATTTTATCTTATTGGGAAAACTTCAAATTATGATTTTTGAAAGTTTGAAGTTGCACAAAAGATTGGCCTATTTTTGACAGCCTGTCAAAACAATTTTTCATCAAATTTTCCAAGTTAAATTGGAAAAAATGTCATTACTTTGCTTCTAAACCAAATATCGACTTCAAATTTGCTTTGTCTTATTAGAAAGACTTCAAATTATGATTTTTGAAAGTTTAAAGTTGCACAAAAAATTGGCCTATTTTTGACAGCCTGTCAAAACAATTTTTCATAAAATTTTCCAAGTTGAATTAGAAAAAATGTCATAACTTTGCTACTGAACCAAATATCGACTTCAAATTTCTTTTATCTTATTGGGAAAACTTCAAATTATGATTTTTGAAAGTTTGAAGTTGCACAAAAAATTGGCCTATTTTTGACAGCCTGTCAAAACAGTTTTTCATAAAATTTTCCAAGTTGAAGTAGAAAAAATGTCATAACTTTGCTTCTGAACCAAATATTGACTTCAAATTTGTTTTATCTTATTGGGAAAACTTCAAATTATGATTTTTGAAAGTTTGAAGTTGCACAAAAAATTGGTCTATTTTTGACAGCCTGTCAAAACAATTTTTTATCAAATTTTCCAAGTTAAATTAGAAGAAATGTCATTACTTTGCTTCTGAACCAAATATCGACTTCAAATTTGTTTTATCTTTTTGGGAAAACTTCAAATTATGATTTTTGAAAGTTTGAAGTTGCACAAAAAATTGGCCTATTTTTGACAGCCAATTTTTCATAAAACTTTCCAAGTTGAATTAGAAAAAATCTCATAACTTTGCTTCTGAACCAAATATCGACCTCAAATTTGTTTCATTTTATTGGGAAAACTTCAAATTATGATTTCTGAAAGTTTGAAGTTGCACAAAAAATTGGCCTATTTTGGACAGCCTGTCAAAGAACAATTTCTTCAAATCTTTAGCTTGAAATTTGAATCCAAGAAATCTGTTGAAATACAAAGATGTCTTAAATGACTCAACTGGTACGCCGCACAAAAATTCTTCCTCGGAGAAGAAGAAGGTACCATAAAAAAGAACTTCTCTGCTCGCTAATTATGGCCATTAAGGGGGGCAAAGTACCTACTGGGAAATAAATAATTATACTGTAGTGTGGTACAAAAGACTTTTGTTGGACGTCATTAGTATGGTAGTACCGATTATATTCGAATTAGGCCCCAACAAAGTGACATAAAGAATTCTTTTCATATGAGAATTAATTTACATATTACACGAATTTTCTATAATGCAACCTGATCCTTTGACTTTGAGGCTCTCTGTGTGTGGTACCAAAAATACTTGTTTTTTATTAGTCATAACTTTGCCTGTAAATATCAAAGAGATTTTTCATTAATCGGAGTGATGGTGTATATGCAGAGAGATGTTGAAATAAAAGGGAAAATGTTCTAGCAGCCTGCGCCACCCTTATACAAACTAGAGAGGGATGGAACTATACAAGCTGTTGCAGGAACATATTATTTTTCCCGCTAGAGAGTAGTAAAATATAATTCTCAACTTGTAAATGTAATCTATTTTTCTTGAAGAGGGTAAATCTCTCAATAATAATCTTATTATGACCGGAATTCAAAGATTCCTGCTTCAAATCTCCTCTCATTTAATAGGAACAATCCAATCCAATCCAGATACATTACGGTGTATGTAGTAGAAAATCCCTCAGGCAATGGGGGTCTTAACGCCGACCACGTAAATCGGTTAACCCTTAAGGGCCCTAGTTAAACTACATTGGCTTAGTTTCAATTAAAACGCATATTTGATTTTAATTTTAATTTAATTGCTCTTTTTGATATTTACAATTATTATATTATTTCTAATATTTACTCTTCCTCTCACTCGCTCCCCCTATAGTAATAGAAAAATAGTTCACACAACCGAAAAATGGAAGCAGATAATAAAGTATTTTTTGATTTAACAGTCATACAACTAAAGCTGTATTTACAATAATTTAAATAAATTAAAAACTATATAACACAGACAAGAATTATTTATAATAAGTTAATAAATATTTACACAAAAATATAATACACAATTATTAGGCTATTATATACAAATTGCCATATATAAGCCATTCTTTTTTTAGCTTAATTAATTAATTATCTAGAAAGGAAGACAAAAAATGTTGTTTTTTCAAAGAATGACTAGTTTTTCAATTAAACTTTCCTATATCTTATATTTAACCCTGTGTACTTAGCGCCAAAAAGCCTTTACACGATTATTTACAAAATTAATTAAATGCCTATTTACACTACGCGGACACCGATACACTTAGGAACTTTGAAAGCGTCTGTTGCACTAAAACGTCAAATTAACGTCAAACGTGTGACAAGCTGGGCTGCGATTGGTCGCAGCAGGGCGGAAATGGCGGCGGTTCGAGGACGGTTACGATTGGCGGACGATCTGGAACAAAATTGATTTTATTTGAAAAAGTTTTCTGGTGATTTAAGATGACAAAATTTGAACTATTCCAGGCTCTTGATTTAAATTTTCTGTTGATCTTAGGGCCAAATTATGGACTAGCAGGTAAACGTCTGGTTGTTACCTAGCAGGTATCTTCTATGCTCTAGATAATAGAAAGTACCTGCTAAAAAACAACCAGACACTTACCAGTTGGTCCATAATTTGGCCCTTAAAGTTTTAAATGTACCAGCCATTGATAATTCAAATCTGAACTATTACTGGGTTTTGATTTCCTTCAGAGAAATTTTCTAGTGGTTCAAGAACCAGTAATGATCAAAATTTGAACTATTCCCGGCTCTTGATTTCATCTGGAAAAGTTTTCTTTGTGATGTGATCTTCAAGAATAGAGCCTCAAAGTTTCATGTCTGCACCCTCAATAGTTTTTGAGGTAAACATTCCAAAATAGAGGCTTGTCAATGTATTAATTTTTGCCTAATTTAGGAAATTCATAACTTTATTATTAGTGGGTTGATCAGCCTGAATTTTTAGTATCTTTTACCTCAAACCTTCAAAAATAGAGCTTCAAAGTTTCATTTCTGCACCCTCAATAGTTTTTGAGGTGAAAATTCCAAAATAGAGGCTTGTCAATGTATTCATTTTTGCCTAATTTAGAAAATTCGTAACTTTATTATTAGTGGGTTGATCAACCTGAATTTTTAGTATGTTTTACCTCAAACCTTCAAGAATAGAGATCCAAAGTTTCATGTCTGCACCCTCAATAGTTTTTGAGGTTAAAATTCCAAAATAGAGGCTTGCCAATGTTTTCATTTTTGCCTAATTTAGAAAATTCGTAACTTTATTATTAGTGGGTTGATCAGCCTGAATTTTTAGTATGTTTTACCTCAATCCTTCAAGAATAGAGCTTCAAAGTTTCATGTCTGCACCCTCAATAGTTTTTGAGGTTAAAATTCCAAAATAGAGGCTTGCCAATGTATTCATTTTTGCCTAGATTTGAAAATTCGTAACTTTATAATTAGTGGGTTGATCATCCTGAATTTTGAGTATGTTTTACCTCAAACCTTCAAGAATAGAGCTCCAAAATTTCATCTCTGCACCCTCAATAGTTTTTGAGGTGACAATTCCAAAATAGAGGCTTGTCAATGTATTCATTTTTGCCTAATTTAGAAAATTCGTAACTTTATTATTAGTGGGTTGATCAGCCTGAATTTTTAGTATGTTTTACCTCAAACCTTCAAGAATAGAGCTTCAAAGTTTCATGTCTGCACCCTCAATAGTTTTTGAGGTTAAAATTCCAAAATAGAGGCTTGCCAATGTATTCATTTTTGCCTAGATTTGAAAATTCGTAACTTTATAATTAGTGGATTGATCAGCCTGAATTTTGAGTATGTTTTACCTCAAACCTTCAAGAATAGAGCTCCAAAGTTTCATCTCTGCACCCTCAATAGTTTTTGAGGTGACAATTCCAAAATACAGGTTGTCAATGTATTCATTTTTGCCTAATTTAGAAAATTCGTAACTTTATTATTAGTGGGTTGATCAGCCTGAATTTTTAGTATGTTTTACCTCAAACCTTCAAGAATAGAGATCCAAAGTTTCATGTCTGCACCCTCAATAGTTTTTGAGGTTAAAATTCCAAAATAGAGGCTTGCCAATGTATTCATTTTTGCCTAGATTTGAAAATTCGTAACTTTATAATTAGTGGGTTGATCATCCTGAATTTTGAGTATGTTTTACCTCAAACCTTCAAGAATAGAGCTCCAAAGTTTCATCTCTGCACCCTCAATAGTTTTTGAGGTAACAATTCCAAAATACAGGTTGTCAATGTATTCATTTTTGCCTAATTTAGAAAATTCGTAACTTTATTATTAGTGGGTTGATCAGCCTGAATTTTTAGTATGTTTTACCTCAAACCTTCAAGAATAGAGCTTCAAAGTTTCATGTCTGCACCCTCAATAGTTTTTGAGGTTAAAATTCCAAAATAGAGGCTTGCCAATGTATTCATTTTTGCCTAGATTTGAAAATTCGTAACTTTATAATTAGTGGGTTGATCATCCTGAATTTTGAGTATGTTTTACCTCAAACCTTCAAGAATAGAGCTCCAAAGTTTCATCTCTGCACCCTCAATAGTTTTTGAGGTAACAATTCCAAAATACAGGTTGTCAATGTATTCATTTTTGCCTAATTTAGAAAATTCGTAACTTTATTATTAGTGGGTTGATCAGCCTGAATTTTTAGTATGTTTTACCTCAAACCTTCAAGAATAGAGCTTCAAAGTTTCATGTCTGCACCCTCAATAGTTTTTGAGGTGAAAATTCCAAAATAGAGGCTTGCCAATGTATTCATTTTTGCCTAGATTTGAAAATTCGTAACTTTATAATTAGTGGGTTGATCATCCTGAATTTTGAGTATGTTTTACCTCAAACCTTCAAGAATAGAGCTCCAAAGTTTCATCTCTGCACCCTCAATAGTTTTTGAGGTGACAATTCCAAAATACAGGTTGTCAATGTATTCATTTTTGCCTAATTTAGAAAATTCGTAACTTTATTATTAGTGGGTTGATCAACCTGAATTTTTAGTATGTTTTACCTCAAACCTTCAAGAATAGAGATCCAAAGTTTCATGTCTGCACCCTCAATAGTTTTTGAGGTTAAAATTCCAAAATAGAGGCTTGCCAATGTATTCATTTTTGCCTAGATTTGAAAATTCGTAACTTTATAATTAGTGGGTTGATCAGCCTGAATTTTTAGTATGTTATACCTCAAACCTTCAAGAATAGAGCTTCAAAGTTTCATCTCTGCACCCTCAATAGTTTTTGAGGTGAAAATTCCAAAATAGAGGCTTGTCAATGTATTCATTTTTGCCTAATTTAGAAAATTCGTAACTTTATTATTAGTGGGTTGATCAACCTTAATTTTTAGTATGTTATACCTTAAACCTTCAAGAATAGAGCTTCAAAGTTTCATCTCTGCACCCTCAATAGTTTTTGAGGTGAAAATTCCAAAATAGAGGCTTGTCAATGTATTCATTTTTGCCTAATTTAGAAAATTCGTAACTTTATTATTAGTGGATTGATCAGCCTGAATTTTTAGTATGTTTTACCTCAAACCTTCAAGAATAGAGATCCAAAGTTTCATGTCTGCACCCTCAATAGTTTTTGAGGTTAAAATTCCAAAATAGAGGCTTGTCAATGTATTCATTTTTGCCTAATTTAGAAAAACTTTATTATGAGTGGGTTGATCGGCCTGAATTTTCAGTATGTTTTACCTCAAACCTTCAAGAATAGAGCTTCAAAGTTTCATGTCTGCACCCTCAATAGTTTTTGAGGTGAAAATTCCAAAATAGAGGCTTGTCAATGTATTCATTTTTGCCTAATTTAGAAAATTCGTAACTTTATTATTAATGGGTTGATAAGCCTGAATTTTTAGTATGTTTTACCTCAAACCTTCAAGAATAGAGCCTCAAAGTTTCATGTCTGCACCCTCAATAGTTTTTGAGGTGAAAATTCCCAAATAGAGGTTTGTCAATGTATTCATTTTTGCCTAATTTAGAAAATTCTTAACTTTATTATTAGTGGGTTGATCTGCCTGAATTTTTAGTATGTTTTACCTCAAACCTTCAAGAATAGAGCCTCAAAGTTTCATCTATATGCCCCCGATAGTTTTTGAGGTGAAAATTCCAAAATAGAGGCTTGTCAATGTATTCATTTTTGCCTAATTTAGAAAATTCCTAACTTTATTATTAGTGGGTTGATCAGCCTGAATTTTTAGTATGTTTTACCTCAAACCTGCAAGAATAGAGCCTCAAAGTTTCATCTCTGCGCCTTCGATAGTTTTTGAGGTGAAAATTCCAAAATAGAGGCTTGTCAATGTATTCATTTTTGCCTAATTTAGAAAATTCGTAACTTTATTATTAGTGGGTTGATCAGCCTGAATTTTTAGTATGTTTTACCTCAAACCTTCAAGAATAGAGCCTCAAAGTTTCATCTATATGTCCCCGATAGTTTTTGAGGTAAAAATTCCAGAATAGCGCATGAATCATCACAAAGAAATATTTCCAGATGAAATCAAGAGCCGGGAAAAGTTCAAATGTTGATCATTACTAGTTCTTGAATCACTAGGAAATTTCTCTAAAGGAAACTAACACCCAGTAAGGTTTCAAATTTTGAAATATTCCCTTCTTTTGATTTCATCTGGAAAAGTTTTCTTTGAGAGGATTCAAGCACTGTTTCGTATAGATAAAACTTTGAGGCTCTATTCTTGAAGGTTTGAGGTAAAATATACTAAAAATTCAGGCTGATTAACCCATTAATAATAAAGTTACGAATTTTCTAAATTAAGCAAAAATGAATACATTGACAAGCCTCTATTTTAGAATTTTCACCTCAAAAACTATTGACTATTTTAGAATTTTCACCTCAAAAATTATTGAGGGTGCAGACATGAAACCTTGAAGCTCTATTCTTGAAGGTTTGAGGTAAAACATACTAAAAATTCAGGCTGATCAACCCACTAATAATAAAGTTACGAATTTTCTAAATAAGGCAAAAATGAATACATTGACAAGCCTCTATTTTGGAATTTTTACCTCAAAAACTATCCGGGGCTTAGAGATGAAACTTTGAGGCTCTATTCTTGATGGTTTGAGGTAAAACATACTAAAAATTCAGGCTGATCATCCCACTAATATTGAAGTTACGAACTTTCTAAATTAGGCAAAAATGAATACATTGACAAGCCTCTATTTGGGAATTTTCACCTCAAAAACTATTGAGGGTGCAGCATTGAAACTTTGAAGCTTTATTCTTGAAGGCTTGAGGTAAAACATACTAAAAATTCAGGTTGATCAACCCACTAATAATAAAGTTACGAATTTTCTAAATTAGGCAAAAATGAATACATTGACAAGCCTCTATTTTGGAATTTTTACCTCAAAAACTATCCGGGGCTTAGAGATGAAACTTTGAGGCTCTATTCTTGAAGGTTTGAGGTAAAACATACTAAAAATTCAGGCTGATCAACCCACTAATATTGAAGTTACGAACTTTCTAAATTAGGCAAAAATTAATACATTGACAAGCCTCTATTTTGGAATTTTCACCTCAAAAACTATTGAGGGTTTATAGATGGAACTTTGAGGCTCTATTCTTGAAGGTTTGAGGTAAAACCTACTAAAAATTCATACTACGGCGATTCAAGCGCCGGTAATAATCAAAATATTACCCAGAAAAGTATCCAAAAACAACATCCAATAATAACCAGAATCTGACTTTTGATTTCCTCTAACATTTCAAGGACCATTAATAATAAAAATCTGAATTTAAAAATTATCATTATTACCTGGATAAGATGCCGAATAATCCTCTCGCAGCTTCCGCCTGTCCATCCTCCTCCTTACATACATATTCCGGCACTTCCTCAACGTTACAAACACAAAAATCAGCACAATCAACATTCCAAAACACTCAACCAACGCAGCTGCAATGTCCTTGTAGTACTGCGCACTTTTATCAATCTTTTCACCACGTACCGCACTAAATAGTACCGACAAAAGCGGCGACTTTAGTTCTTCTTGTTGACTTTCTGTGGATACTTTTTGCGCCCTGCTAGTGTCCAAATCCATCATTTGCGACTTGAGGTTTTCAACACCAGGAATTCTGGATACTAGTTCAACTTGGATGTGGTATATTGTATCTGGCCATAAGGATAGAGTGACACAAGTTGAATCAGTAAAGAGGTTGCCTTTAAGACCTCCTCCATCTACTTCCCATGTGACCAAGTAAACTCCTCTAAGGCTTTTTGGTTCCCAAGCGATTTCTCCTATTACTAAGACTTTTTGGTGAATCAAAGATATTTCTTTTAGTACCCATGCATCTTCATTACTACTCCTTGTAGTTGTTTTGATTATTTCAGTGTTGATTTTTTTGGTTTTTTTGCCTGATTTCTTTGAATCTATAGGACTGTAAATTGTTAACAATCCTTGTGGGTCAACTACAAGGACTCTTAATAAAGCATTGCCTTGATCCATTGGGACTCTAGTAGATGAATCCAGGGTCTGGATTATTTGCCTCCAAGGTCCAGATTGGCTTTTGCGCATTACCACATAAACTATTGGGGTTTGGGGATTGGTGGGAGCTGGCCATTGGGCTCTGGCATCGGAAACCTGGATGACTGCTTCACCTTTTGTGTGGGTTACTGGTTGAGTGGTTAGGAAGGCTTGTTGGTGGAATTTGCACGCTTGTTGACAGCCAGGGAACTGAAATAAAAATAAAATATAAACTTTGCATCATCTTAAGAACTTTTCAAAGCTGCTCTGACTCAATTGGGATTCTAAAAGTAGTGCTCTATAACAGAATTTTAATGCTTTTCTAGCTCTAGAACACTCAAGGATAGGATTCCAAATTTGTCCAGTTCAGGACAGGTTTGAAAATGAACTGTTCAAATTGTTCTGAACTCTAGAATATGGTTACATTGAACCTTAAGGAAAAAGTCTTCAAAATTTCAAATTTTGATTAAAATAATGGCTGGTAAATTAGCATTTTTAGTCTAGAAATAACTAATCACACAATTTCTTTATTTCGAATTGAGGCTCATCGGAATAGAGGCGCGCTCTGTCTCTAAAAGGTTTGTCGTGTAGCGTTGAGCCGCGAATTTTTCCTTGTCGTTTTCGCAAAGTAATTTTTCGCTTTTAGAGAATTAGACGATTTCTCTCTCTGTCTCTCTGGTGGAAGGTTTTAAAGTGTTTGGGAATTAGTCTTAGAGTGGGCAAAGTGAAAGATTTTGATTGTTACATCATCAATTAGGAAATCCTGTACTTATTCTAACTCTAATAGATTTTGACTCAAAGATTTCAGATTATTGACAAAATCCTCTAAATCGCTTATGAAATTTCCATTATAAACGTTTAGAAAAACTACCAGCTAATTGCATACTCTATAGTCAAAAAACAACAGTCAAGTGTCGAATATTTTCTTCCATATACAACAGAATTGTAGATTAGTTTTGTTACTGTATAGACATTATTCGGAGAATGACGGATTCGACAATAATTGAATGAAAAAGGAGTGTCGGAATTTTAAAGTGAATACTTACGCAAATTTCTTTCTCTTCGCACATCTCGCCCCAGACTTGGAAGTTCGACTGGAGCAGTTCGCAATTTTCCCAACACTGTAACAAGAAAATTATTCATTAGTTTTTGTTGGTTTATTCACTTTATCTTATAGACAGTTACCAGTAAGATGTTTAAACCGGGCCTAAATCAAAATATTCTGTTCAATGTTTTGAAAGAAAACAAACAAAATTAAACTGGTTTTTAAAGGACTGATTTAATCATCAGAATAAACTCTTAAGATAAGGCCAGACAATGGAGTGTGACTGTTGTTGTTGTTGGTTCATTAGGAATGATGTTTATTTAAGGTTTGGTTAAGAATCTTGAGCTGTTATGACGTTGGGAGAAATTGGAAAGTTAGATTAGAGAATAGGCAAGGTACGTAAATATTGTTTTTAATGATTTATAAAAGTTATATTGAGTTCTAGAATTTTTCTCTCTACTCGAGAATTTTTAAATAATACATGACCAATATTTAGTTATCACTTTTCTTTATCGGTTCTCGTTTAATTCTTTCCGTGTACTCAACTTTCCTGATAATTATCTTACAAATTGGCGCCCAACGTGGGGCCACAGTGAGTTTCAAGACTGGTAGAGTGACTATTGTGTGCAGGTAATAATTTTTTTACAAACACGCTAAACATCCTTTTACTGAATTCAAATTTGACACCTGTCAAAAATTTCCTGTTCAAAGAGCTGCGATTTCATTTCAGTGAATATACCAATAGTCCATTTACATAATCATCTGTGACTGTAACCATCAATAGAATTTTATTTTGACAGGTAATATTTTTTTTACCACCTCACTGAACATCTTTTCATTGAATTCAACTTTGACACCTGTCAAAAATTCCCTGTTCAAAGAGCTACGATTTTATTTCAATGAATATGTCAAAAGTTCATTAACATAATCATTTGTGACTGTAACCATCAATAGAATTTTATTTTGACAGGTAATAATTTTTTTACAATATCACTGAACATATTTCCATTGAATTCAACTATGACACCTGTCAAAAATTTCCTGTTAAAAGAGCTATGATTTTATTTCAATGAGTTTATTAACATAATCATCTGTAACTGTAACCATCAATAGAATTTTATTTTGACAGGTAGTAATTTGTTTACAACCTCATTAAACATCTTTTCATTGAATTCAACTATGACACCTGTCAAAAATTTCCTGTTAAAAGAGCTACGATTTTATTTCAATGAATATGACAAAAGTTCATTAACATAATCACCTGTGACTGTAACCATCAATAGAATTTTATTTTGACAGGTAATAATTTTTTTATAACCTCACTGAACATCTTTTCATTGAATTCAACTTTGACACCTGTCAAAAATTCCCTGTTCAAAGAGCTACGATTTTATTTCAATGAATATGACAAAAGTTCATTAACATAATCACCTGTGACTGTAACCATCAATAGAATTTTATTTTGACAGGTAATAATTTTTTTATAACCTCACTGAACATCTTTTCATTGAATTCAACTTTGACACCTGTCAAAAATTCCCTGTTCAAAGAGCTACGATTTTATTTCAATGAATATGACAACAGTTCATTAACATAATCACCTGTGACTGTAACCATCAATAGAATTTTATTTTGACAGGTAATAATTTTTTTATAACCTCACTGAACATCTTTTCATTGAATTCAACTTTGACACCTGTCAAAAATTTCCTATTAAAAGAGCTACGATTTTATTTCAATTATTATTAACAAAAGTTCATTAACATAATCATTTGTGATTGTAACCATCAATAGAATTTTATTTTGACAGGTAATAATTTTTTTATAACCTCACTGAACATCTTTTCATTGAATTCAACTTTGACACCTGTCAAAAATTCCCTGTTCAAAGAGCTACGATTTTATTTCAATGAATATGACAAAAGTTCATTAACATAATCACCTGTGACTGTAACCATCAATAGAATTTTATTTTGACAGGTAATAATTTTTTTACAAACTCACTGAACATCTTTTCATTGAATTCAACTATGACACCTGTCAAAAATTTCCTATTAAAAGAGCTACGATTTTATTTCAATTATTATTAACAAAAGTTCATTAACATAATCATTTGTGATTGTAACCATCAATAGAATTTTATTTTGACAGGTAATAATTTTTTTATAACCTCACTGAACATCTTTTCATTGAATTCAACTATGACACCTGTCAAAAATTTCCTATTAAAAGAGCTACGATTTTATTTCAACTATTATTAACAAAAGTTCATTAACATAATCATTTGTGATTGTAACCATCAATAGAATTTTATTTTGACAGGTAATAATTTTTTTATAACCTCACTGAACATCTTTTCATTGAATTCAACTTTGACACCTGTCAAAAATTCCCTGTTCAAAGAGCTACGATTTTATTTCAATGAATATGACAAAAGTTCATTAACATAATCACCTGTGACTGTAACCATCAATAGAATTTTATTTTGACAGGTAATAATTTTTTTATAACCTCACTGAACATCTTTTCATTGAATTCAGCTTTGACACCTGTCAAAAATTTCCTATTAAAAGAGCTACGATTTTATTTCAATTATTATTAACAAAAGTTCATTAACATAATCATCTGTGGCTGTAACCATCAATAGAATTTTATTTTGACAGGTAATAATTTTTTTACAATATCACTGAACATATTTCCATTGAATTCAACTTTGACACCTGTCAAAAATTCCCTGTTCAAAGAGTTACGATTTTATTTCAATGAATATGACAAAAGTTCATTAACATAATTACCGGTGGCTGTAACCATCAAGAGAATTTTATTTTGACAGGTAATAATTTTTTTACAATATCACTGAACATATTTCCATTGAATTCAACTATGACACCTGTCAAAAATTTTCTGTTAAAAGAGCTACGATTTTATTTCAATGAAATTGACAAAAGTTCATTAACATAATCATCTGTGAATGTAACCATCAATAGAATTTTATTTTGACAGGTAGTAATTTGTTTACAACCTCACTAAACATCTTTTCATTGAATTCAACTATGACACCTGTCAAAAATTTCCTGTTAAAAGAGCTACGATTTTATTTTAATGAATATGACAAAAGTTCATTAACATAATCATATGTGACTGTAACCATCAATAGAATTTTATTTTGACAGGTAATAATTTTTTTACAACCTCACTGAACATCTTTTCATTGAATTCAACTTTGACACCTGTCAAAAATTTGCTATTAAAAGAGCTACGATTTTATTTCAATGAATATGACAAAAGTTCATTAACATAATCATATGTGACTGTAACCATCAATAGAATTTTATTTTAAAAGGTAGTAATTTGTTTACAACCTCACTAAACATCTTTTCATTGAATTCAACTATGACACCTGTCAAAAATTTCCTATTAAAAGAGCTACGATTTTATTTCAATTATTATTAACAAAAGTTCATTAACATAATCATTTGTGGCTGTAACCATCAATAGAATTTTATTTTGACAGGTAATAATTTTTTTACAACCTCACTGAACATCTTTTCATTGAATTCAACTTTGACACCTGTCAAAAATTCCCTGTTCAAAGAGTTACGAACTTCAATGAATATGACAAAAGTTCATTAACATAATCACCGGTGGCTGTAACCATCAAGAGAATTTTATTTTGACAGGTAATAATTTTTTTACAATATCACTGAACATATTTCCATTGAATTCAACTATGACACCTGTCAAAAATTTTCTGTTAAAAGAGCTACGATTTTATTTCAATGAAATTGACAAAAGTTCATTAACATAATCATCTGTGAATGTAACCATCAATAGAATTTTATTTTGACAGGTAATAATTTTTTTACAAACTCACTGAACATCTTTTCATTGACTTCAACTTTGACACCTGTCAAAAATTCCCTATTTAAAAGAGCTACGAATAACGGGCTGACGTTCTTACACGCATAACCTTATTTGCGATGGGAAGACAAACAAAGCTTTTAAGGCCTGTTTACACACATCAGTTTCCTATCAGTGTTGTGTCACTTCAGAGTCCCGTTTGGCCCTTTGTTCCCCTATCAAAAGTTATGTGATGTGATATCAAAGAATCTGGCATTAACTACTGGATACGTCGTGTAAATTGGCCTTAATTTCCGGACATTACAAACTATGAAATAACGAGGGCCAAAAATAGTTGAGCTCTCCTTCTAAATCCGCCCTAGAGTAAGTTTTCATAATTAGAAACTTCCTAGAGAGGAAGGCATAGATAAGTTACTTTGAAACTAAGGTTTACAAAGTTTAAAAATTTAATATAAAAACTTCTTAATAAGCTTCCACATTGTATAAGTGCATCTTGAGCAAAACCGCTCTATATATTTTGTATATATAATTCTTTTAATCATAATAACAATACATCAATCCCTTCAACTTCGCCCTTATTCTTAATACCCAAGCCAAGGAGTGTCGATATCCGACCATCTGTGTAATTAAACGAATGCGTTTCCTATATTATCTGTACCCCCAAAGTTTCAGGAAGGGCATGCCATATTGCCGCCTCTATTAAGAACTTTATTAGACGAGCGACAATAATTCGTATCAATAATGATAAATGACACGATACGGAATTGAAGCTAAAATCTTCGTTAATTGAATTAGTTGTCAGTGATTGTTTCTACCCACATGATGGTTACATTGGATTTGAATCTAGAGAATTATAAGGACAAAAATAAGATTTTTTGATAAGTTTTAGCTGCGTCAAGTTAGCCCCCCACATTCGAATTTTCTAAAAAAATTGCAACCACTTACTGTGCTCGAAGTGTGCTTTACTGTGCCGATGATATTTTGAACTGTGCCGTTTCGATAACAAAGTTTTAGGAAAAAATAGATGAGGGGCTAACTTGACGCTCAGCCCCCCCAAAATTTTGGAAATCAGATGAAACAAAATTGAATTCTTATCCAATCTGAAGTGTGCTGAACTGTGCCGTATCAGGTTTTTCTCAAAATTTCCATATTCGGTTATTTTCCGACAAAATCCTACTGGGGGGCTAACTTGACGCTCAGCCCCCCCAAAATGTT